CCCTGGGTAGAGTGCCATGGCATCACAGCTCACAGCAACCTCCAACTCCTGGGCTCAAGCGAGTCTCCTGCCTCAGCCTCCCAAGTAGCTGGGGCTACAGGCACCTGCTGCAATGCCCGGCCATTTTTTGGTTGCAGCCATCATTGTTGTTTGGCAGGCCTGGGCTGGGGATTCGAACCCACCACCTTAGGTGTATGTGGCTGGGGAATTTTAAAATAACATATCACGATCACATCATTCTCCCTTTAAAACTTTCCAGTGTTTCCTTTACATGTAGAGTACAATTTAGACTCTTCTTGCCTCATGGCCCCTATGATCTATCCCCTGCTGATGTCCACCCTGGTGCTTGCTACCCCACAGTCTGGCCGGACACACCATGCTGGCCCTCACCTTAGGGCCTTTGTACTGGCTGACAGCTTCTCAGAATCTTTTTCTCCAACATCCTGAAGCAGCCATTTGTCTAACTTTGTCTGGTTGACTGGTTGTGGCATTTGCTCCCTGCAGTACAAGGGAAGCAATGCTATGTGCTTCCAGGGCTCAGAGACCGCCTTCACTCCCAGAATAGGTTCCCCCACTCCTATATTCTTCCCTTCCTCCTAGTCACTATCCATAGGAAGCCCCTAAGCCCAGGTGGCAAGGTATATCTTGCTGGGCTGCTTGCTGTTGCATCACCTTCATTAGGGCTGTTTTTGCTCCTTCATTAAATTAAATTCCAGGAAGCAGTGCTAATGACAGTCCTAACGAGTCATGGGAGTCCCAGCCTTTGGACAGCATGGTAGGGAGGACTAAATAATAATGTGAACAAAGCAACAAAGCAGTGGCTCCTGGGGATAGAGCTGATTATCATTTCCTAGGCCCTCTAAGGACCCTAGGCTTCCCAGGGAGGTGGTCTTTGGAGGCTGTGTATGCAGTAGGCAGAGTGGCAGATTGAACCATGAGCTCTTCAAAGATAAGAAAAAGAGAGAAGTTTAGTTCAGACCTTGGCCCTAAAGCCCTGAGCACCCCGGGTTTCTCTGTTAGGACCTAGTGTCTCCCCTCCAGTTATATCAGGAGCACCCTGAATGCCAGGACCATTTGGATTCTTAGGGCTAGACATGATCACTGGTTTGGAGATGCTGGTGCTACTGCCTCACCATTCCTGGGGACTTAGGAACTGCCTGTATGTCTTACTCCTCAGGGATGCTTCAGGTAGTCCCCTCTCATACCACGGTCTTCTTGCTTTCAATATTCTGGCCAGGCTGGCTTCCTTCCTAGTTCAGAAACATTCACTTATTTCCCACCCCAGGGCCTTTGCACTTAGTGTTGCCCCTACCTGTCACTCTATTCTGGCTTATCACATGACAGGTCCCTCCCTATGATTCAAAGTTCCCTTCCTCAGACTGTTTTCTCCTTCCCCCATCTCCCAGTGGCTCTAATGTCACCCTCTTGTTTCCTCTGACACTGTAAAATTCTATTTCCCTGTTAACTTGTTCAGTGTATGCTCCTCAAGGGCAGGGTCCCAGCCATCTCCCTTACCCTCAAGTTCTCAGAACATTGGCACACAATATGTTCACAGTAAATACTGGTTGAACAGATGACCCCAGGTGTCCAACCGATGACCCCCACAGGCCACATGCTAATTTTGTGAGGACTATTTTTGCTTATC